AAGCAACTTAAAGAAGTCCAGACGCTTTTCTTTGCAAGCTCCTTTGGCCCCTCTGTAATTCTGCTAAATCTTGATCTAAAAACAATGCACCCTTATTACACACACACACACACTTTTCAATATACTACGCTCTTTGGTTTTGCAAGCATTCACATCACACTCTTCAGCGTGCTCATCAGAGCTCTTTCAGACATCAGGACAATTAACAATTTTCCACACATATCACAATTCTTTCAGCACAGTTTTGTAGCATCATCCACGCAATACTTTCATCAACATTTTACACTCCTCCCTAAACTTCCTTATATAAAAAAAAAAAAATCATCTCACACACACACACACACACACACCATGCCCTTTTTCTCTCAACACAATGTGCACCTTTAATCATTCATAATAACAATTTTACACGTCACTTATACATTCACACATTTATATATCACAAAAGACTGCCAGTAACTGCCAAGATAAATTATTTCCATTACCATATTACCTCTTCAAAACCGATATTATTCACCATTTCCATATCACAGTTTCCAAACCTCAGTACCGATACACCTAACTTCTTCCTTGATTAATTTGAAAGCCTCTAAGCCCAGGTCCAACCGTGCTGGTCAATCAACCCGCTTCGGGAACGCCCTCACCGATTCGCATGATTCTACTGGCAAAAGAAGCTAACTGCACTCCATGAACTTCTGGTAGCACAAATGAACAAATGAATGAATGAGCAGAACACAGAAATCCATACTCTAAATGGATGACATCAAGTTGTATGCCAACAATAAACAAGATATCAATTCACTGATCCACACCACAAGGATGTACGGCAATGACACTGGACTCTCATTTGGACTGGAGAAGTGTAGTCAGATGGGAAAGGGAGGGAAAGTAGTCAGAAGTAAGGGGATTGCACTACTAGAAGGCAACATTGCAGACATCCAGGACAGCTACAATACCTGGGAATCCAACAGGCAAATGGGAACCATGTATAGGTTTCTAGGAAAGCCTCAACCACCAGATACCTGCAGAGGGTAAGGCAAGTCCCGAGGAGTCAGCTGAATGGAAATAAAAATGGTAAATGGCCTGTATTTGTATAGGTCCGGGTCTGATGTGGAAGACCACACCATTAAGCTGACCTTTTTGTTACTTGTAGTTTAATTATTATTGCTGCAGGTTTTTTAATTCTTTCCTCTTTTTCAGTGAGATTTATTAGTCTGTTTAGAGCGTAAACATGTGCATTAAAGGCAGGTTGAAAGTCTGAGATGGAAATGCAAAGGACACCAGACAGGGATGCTACCATATAAAGCTGGTAACCATCAATCAAACTAAATCTGCCTATTAGTCTACCATTATCTGTTCAAGTGAGGACTCCACCAAAACCCTATTCTCATTATTCAACTCCTTTTACAGGCCACCTGATTTTCTGCCCGCTCATCTCTATTCATCTAACTTCTGCAACTCTCTAATGCTATTCTTCACTGAAAAAATTCATAAAATACACCTAGACTTGGTCCCTAATGCTCAATGTAGCTCCTCCGTCTTAATTTCACCCCCTTCTGCTTCCTTTCTGCTTTTCAACTTCTGTTTCTAACTGATATTGCTGATCTCATCCACAAACCAAAGCCTTCTACCTGCCAGCTTGATCCTATTCCCACTGTCCTTATCAAAGCCTGTTTACCCCCTCTCCTTCCCCTCATATCTGCTATTATTCACTCTTCACTCACCACTGGAACTGTTCCTGCTTCTTTCAAAGTTGCCGCCATCACCCCAATCCTGAAAAAAACAGGTCTAGATCCCACAACTTTAATAATTTTTGCCCTATCTCCAATCTACCATTACTCTCAAAAATTCTTGAAAAAGTAGTTGCTTCATAAGTCCATCTACACCTATCTGATAATAACCTTTACGAACAGATCCAGTCTGGTTTCCATCCTTTGCATTGCACCGAAACTGCTCTTATAAAATAACAAACAATCTTCTTATGGCGGCTGATTCTGGTCTCCTCTCCATCCTTATTCTCCTTGATCTGAGTGCAGCCTTTGACACCATCTCTCATCCCATTCTTCTTAGCAGATTAGCTTCTATTGGCCTCTTCCATACTCCATTAGCCTCGTTTAAATCTTACCTGTCTGACCGCACTCAGTTCATTCAATTAAAATCCTTCACTTCTCAGCCTTCTCCACTATCTACTGGGGTGCCCCAGGGATCTGTCCTCGGGTCCCTCCTTTTCATTATTTACTTTTTTCCACTCTGACACATTTTTCGTAAATATAACATTCAGTTCCACTGCTATGCCGATGACACCCAGCTTTACCTCTCTACCAAACCCAATTATACTCCTCTTCCACCCTCCCTCACCCTCTGCTTAGCTGAACTCAATTCATGGTTCTCCTCCAACTTCCTTAAACTCAACAGCAATAAATCAGAACTTCTCCTGGTTGGCACTAAACGATTGCTATCCAGAATTAACGTTTTTTCTCTCACTATCAATAATTCATCGGTTCCTATCTCTCCCTCTCTGAAAATCTTGGGTGTCATTCTCGACAGACTATTATTTGGCCTTACACAAAAATCAATTAACAAGCTCCAACGTCCAGAATTCTGCTGCCTGTATTATTACTAGGACTTCCTCTACCCACCACATCTCCCCAATCCTGAAGCAGCTTCACTGGCTCCATTTATTTTCATTGACAGCAGCTGGATAGTGTAGTGGTAAGACTACACACATTTAGAGCGGGAGTCACAAGTTTGATTCCCACCCGGAATCCAGTAAGGGTCCTGTCTAGACCCCCCATGCTAAAACCAGGATTGGTGCCTCAGATCTTCCTCTTTCTGTTCCTTCCGCTTGTCTTGTTACAATGGGGAAGCAGGGCGTTTAGTTGCTCTGCCCCTCGACTTTGGAATTCCTGACCTCAAAAAGAGGGAATGAAGTAATTTTTCTAGGTCCACCCTCAAAACTCACCTAAAATTGCTTATGTTTAAACCTCTACATACTCTTAACTTTTATCTGTTACTCTTATCATTGTGTATATTTCCAGTTTTTTAAAAAAAAAATATATATATCTGTTTTATTTGCTGTACAGTGTCCTTGGGTCTTCTGAAAGGTGCCATTTTTAAATAAAACATATTATTATTATTATTATTATTATTATTATTATTATTATTATTATATCTCATACAGATACAGCCAGTCAATGTCAGAGTGTCACCAAGATGGTGCTTTCTTAAAAAAAAACTTTGACTTGTGTAGTTAGTTATAGATTATTGTACGGTCTTTACCGTAGTGCCTAAACCTAAAGCACATCGAGACCACTTTTCTGATTTGGTGTTATATAAACAAAACTGAATTGAATTGATCCCAAACCAGATGTGGGAGTTATTTCTGAGACTGAACTTCATTTTTAAATTTCCCTGTTGTTTGCTGGGTTGTTACTTCTTTAGATCTCTATTTGAATTAGGAGCATGTCCTTCATTTTTTCAGTGACCTAAATAAACTAAGCATGTTCTGGCTTGTCAGATCCTTCCACCAAGTAGAAATTACTTCTGCATATTTTTAAGTTACACTCTGTTATAAATTCAATATGATGTCATAAAGTTTGCAGATCTATTAACAACAGTTTAATAATATACTGGACTTGGTACTTTAATAATAATTTAAAAATCTTTTTTGATTAATTTTTCTTAAATGACAAAACACATCAATGACATTCAGTGAGAAGGTTTCACAGATAGGCAGAGATGATGACGGCTGCTTGACTGTATAAGGCTCTTATTTCACAATAGTTAAGAGGTGACGTTATGCAGATGAATTGGGGAGAAAACTTACAAACATACAGTGCAGCACCTCAGAGTCACACTGTTAGTGATCAAAGATTTATGTAAATTTGACAAGCTGAACACATTCTGTACTGTACAGGAGACACGGCACGAGATTGATTGATAATGGTCTACAGCCAATCAGGACGCAGAACACAATGCGCTGAAAAAACCCCCCAAAACATTAATTTGTGCAAAACTGCACAATGCATATCCTCGAAACAGCAAAGCTGTGAAAGTTGTAGCGAGGGACCGCTGTATATAGTATCTGCTGTGTATTGCATGCACATATGCAGATATGCACATATGCATCTTCTTAAACATGATACGTTTTACCAACAGGACAGACGTTGCAATCATATGTAGTTCAACACAGGGAAAAAACATAATCAGAGCACGAAATAAAGAAAATAGTTGCAATTGACATTTTAAGTTTCCATTCAAATGACTCGATTCAGGTTACTTCCATGGCCAAAGGTGAATAAAATCACGTACAGTAGGCATGCAGACTGCTTTTTCAAGCAAACAATTGGGAATGACAGCAACCATGTGGGCTGAAATTATATTAAACTCCTTTTGATTAAGAAATGGATGTTACTCAAGTTCACGTGTGTGAAGGCAGATTAAAAAAAATACTTTTAGCAATATAGTGTATAATGTGTGCTATAGATACAGAACTGGTTACCTGTAATATTTTATTTTTACAATTATTGTCTTTTATTTTGTTTTGTTTTTTTATGAAAACATATATTCTCTGGTTCTATTTTGACTTCATTAGACATACTCATTGAGTTACTTCTGTGAGTAGAAGAGCATGCATCAGCATTCAGCTCTGTGCCTCTGTCACCAAACAGCAATGGCAAAATCGCTCAGAGCTTCTAAAGAAAACATCAGAAACCAGTGGGTGGTAGTTTTAACCTCCTAAAAAGCTCCTAAAAACCATCTTTTCCTGTAGTGTTGTATATGTTTCCTTTTTCTATTGCAAAGACAATTGACACGTGAGGTTCTGCTGGCCTTTGCATTGGTAGCTGGTAGCTACCTAAACTAGCTATGATCTGAAATATTAAGTGTTTATAAAAGCTCAGTTAACACACTCAGAGACAAGGTGATAGCTTAATAAAGATGCATCAGAATAAGAATACTTCACTAATAATTTACTTGGACTGTAAATGGCAGTATGTGTAAATCATAGTGTGACGCTATTCCACTGTAACTGAACTTTTGAATGTAATGAACAATTTTAACAGACATCTTCATTTCCTCAGTGAAAGCGCACCTATGTAGGAAATGTGTTATTAATTCTAAAGCTTTTGTTCTGGTAAATTAAGGGGTTTAAATTTGATTTAATGAAAAAACATCCATTTATCTCACTATACTGACACTCTATATATGTATGTATCTCCTCATACACAAGTGGACCATTTTCATAAACACTGCATTGGCACTGAGTGTGCGTATACAAATATTTTATAAAACTCCCCACATTGTATGCATTTGTAAATTCCAATGGTGTGCAACTATATAAAGTCTCATAGCATCATATTATAATCATCTGTTTTGATGTGTGTATTTCTATGCTCACTAGTTCGTTGAAATTGTTATAGTTTTCATGTTAATCATTTATGCTAACTGTAATATCATTCGATTTTTTGGTGAGCTTCTCTGGCACTAGCTCCCCTAAATTTCCACAATGCTACAAAAGCTAAACTGTTAAATTGTGAATGCAATAACAGTGAGTGCATTTGTGCAGCTAATATCACCACAAATCAGTGTTTCTAGTTCAGCAGGTGCGAAGTTATAAGATGCTCAGTCTCACCAGGACAACTTTTGTTCAGCTGCTGTACTCAGTGTTTTTCTATCTTTGTCAAGGTAAAAGCTGCTTCGAAGTATGTGGACGTGCCTGTAAGTATTCATTTTACATCTCCGCTGTTGTAATGTATGTGTGTGGGTCATTGTGCCTTCATCAAGTTTTGATTTGCTCATCAGATATATTTTGGAGCACTAAGAAGTACTAAATCTAAATTCTGAAAGTTTTGGTGACTGTTTGGCCTCAAAATGTCATCATTAATCCCAGTCCCTGTTGTGTTTGCATGACTGACATGCATGTGAGTGCTGTTAAGACTCCTTTGTATTGTATCACTCAACATATAATTCCATCCTGATTCCTGATTCCATGAAAAGAATTTGAAAATCCACTTCATATGGTAGTTACATGATGACATGTGTAAATATTTTGATATTTAAAAAACGACATAGAAAACCTAATAGTTCATATTCGATAAGTAATATGACGTGACATTCAGAGATAATTTGTTTACTGGTCACGTCTCCCCCGAAGCCTCAGCTTACACACACGATGAGTCATCACCCTCTTACAAAGTTCTCACAAAGAAAATTTCTACCTTTGACTTTAAAATGACATTTGCTGTTTTATATGATGTATACAGTGAGTGTCGTTCCATTTGCTGAAATTCCATCCATCTGTCTATTCATCCATCCAACCATTCCAGTGGACCCACTGCTGATTGGAGGTGTTGAAGGGATCCAGTGTAGAGCGTGTGTGTGTGTGTGTGTGTGTGTGTGCGGTTCTGCAGCATACTTAAATGGTGTATTCTGTCATTCAATGGTGATTAAATCAAATCTGACTTAAATCGCTGTTATATAAATTTTTTATAATGCTATATATAGGGATGGGTACCGGTATCCGGTGCCATGATGTTCTGACATAAACGGTAGTAACCAGACCGAAAAGCAGCGCACATTTCGGTGCTTTATTTTGGTGCTTTTTTTTT